CTGAGAACTTAAAACTGCCTTTTGAAGCCTGGAAGTTTACTCCAACAGCCAATGCAAAAGAGGATTTTGAAGGTTTCTCTGCAGTCTGCAAAGCTGAGATTGATTATGAAGTGACAAATCCCAAATAAGAGTTGCCCATGTACTATCTCGGAGTTGCTCATGTTAACCACATGTGCTGAGGCCCCCTCTAGCAAAACCTGATATAAAAAAATTGGCAGTACTTAAATGTTGGTGTCGTTGCAGCAAGCTGAGCACACCAGTTTTCTCATACATGGGTAGTCTAGCAAACAGATAGGGGTGGGCAGACTAATGAGAACTCGTTGACAGGAAAAACTAACGCCAGCTTCTCTTTCAGATGGTGCATTTCCTCACACACTATGCTGACAAGATCGAGTCCGTCCAATTCTCGGACCAGTTCTCCGGTCCAAAACTTATGCAAGAGTATGTATAAAACCAGCTCTCTCCTTACAGTAGGTGCTGTAATACTAAGCAAAGTCTAGGCTGACCGACTTGTTTGTTGCCTGCTAGAACGTGCCCAAAAGGAAACTGGGTGCAAAGGTGAAACAGCTGATTACAGTCCTGATGCTTCTAAGTGTGTCCTTCTTAATGCTCAGATGACCTTTGACAGTCACAGCACTGGTTGGTGCTGTTAGTATGCCTTTATGTTTTTTAATTTTTTTAATGAAAAAACACTTCAGAAGTCTACATGGTTTGAGTAAAAATTGGAGTAAAGAAAGCTTTTTAATATTATTTTACTCTTGTAAGTAGTTTGCAAGTGTCTCTTGGTTCTTAACAAGATTCTGCTACAATGTTATGTATTTCATATGCTCATATTTTTTCGTTACATGTTCTGACTATCTTTTCTTTCCTACCAGGGAGGGTCAGCTTACAAAACTGCCTGAAACTAAAAAGACACTTCTGTTTACATTTAATGGTAAGAGAACTGGTGTCTGTATGTGAGAGATAGGGGTGTCACACTTAATTGTGTGAGTCATACGTGGATGAAAATATATTACTAGTGACTGCAGCACATGTTAACATGATCACTTGCTGATTAACCAGTAAATAAAAGTGTCCCAATGCGTCCCCCACTCACTGAGTGGCATATAGCGAGGCAATACAGTACTGAACCCCCAGCTTCAGGATCAGCCTGAACTTAAAATGATCCATCATGAAGCAAGTGCAGTTCCCAACTGCTGCTTAAAGCTGCTTAGCACAATTAGGGAAAGGATGACCCCAAGAGACCCTCGATTCTTTAAACTGTTTGTAAATGCAATGTTGAGAACTGCAGGGGACCCATCCTTATGTCTGTGCTGGTGGTCCTGTTAGGTCACCTCTGAAAGATGACTTTCATCTGTGCTGCTCCCTGCAGGATGTGGTGACCCAGTGTCTTAGCACCATTTCAATTTATAAACAGGCTGAGGGTCTACATCTGAATTTTTCTTAGAAACTCCAGGCTGTAGCTCCAAGAGAAGTTAATGATAAGAGGTCAGAATCAACCACCAAATGTGTATTCTGCACTGATGAAGCCAAGGATTCTGTGGAAGAAATGTGCCCGCCACTGTGTGAAGAATCTGAAAGGAATCTCCAAAGTGAAACACCCCTTTCAGATAGTTCATCTAGATAGTTCATGAGTATTTGTCTTTCATGAATACTTTGAGCAGTAAGGGAGAAGCATTAGAGCTAACAGAAGCAGCCTGCCAATCTCACTGAATTACCTTGAGGAACTCTGTTTTTCAGTGCCTGGTTCAGGCAACACTTCCCCAAAGGATATGGAGTCTTTGCTGCCTCTGATGAGCATGGTTATTTACTCCATTGACAAAGCAAAGAAATTCCGTCTGAACAGAGAGGTAACCAATGTATTCTTTTCTCTCCTCTGACTCTTATTGTATGAAATTTCAAAAACTACCCTTTGATCTTTAATCTGAAGGTTGGAAGCCTTATGTTCCTAATGCAACTACCACTGATAATACAGGCTCCCCATGAGCAAAATGAGTAACTGAACTTTTCTCTGTGAAAAGGGCAAACAAAAAGCTGATAAGAACAGGGCTCGAGTGGAAGAGAACTTCCTTAAACTGACTCACGTGCAAAGACAGGAGGCTGCCCAGTCCCGGCGAGAGGAGAAAAAGCGGGCGGAGAAGGAGCGAATCATGAATGAGGAGGATCCAGAAAAACAGCGTCGGCTGGAGGTGGGATGAGTTCAGATGGTTACCAGCTACCTGCAGATTTCTCTTGCAGTATCTCCAGGGCTGCTCGTTGGTGTACCAGTGGGGTGGTGAACTTCAATGTCTTCCTACGCTAGAAGGCAGACGGCTTTCATGCTTTATTCTCTTGCTTTCGGAGCCAGCTCTTGTGCTTAGACAATATGTGAACCTAAGAGACTGTATTTTGTTTTGTTTTGCTTTCCTCTTCTGAAATGGTTAGCTGCTTCTTGGAAGAACTCTGATGTTCATTTAGGTCTCTCTATCTTTCCTACAGGAAGCAGCTTTGAGGCGTGAGCAGAAGAAACTGGAGAAGAAGCAGATGAAGATGAAGCAAATCAAAGTGAAAGCAATGTGAACCCTTTGTGGGAAACCTGTCTTGGTACCACCTGCAGAATTTTAATTCCCAGGGTACAAAGGCATAGTTAACTCCACAATCTTACACTTCTTTGAACACTAGTAGCCATTAAGAGAAATGCTCCATGCATTGGTGTTGCTTTTTTGAGTATTACAGCAACATGCAGGTGTATGTAGAGAGCTTTGTCTCTGCAGCTTTATTCCAGGTGGTTAATTTTTTTTGCTACGTCTCTAAAAAAAATGCAATATTCCTGAATGCTTTTTGTCATTTCTTCTTTAAAAATGGAAGATTGTAAATTTCTCCACATATGCTGGTAACATATCAATGCTTTGGTTTTAAAATTTGTTTTTAATTGTTTAGGTGGGGAGGGAACTTCTTAAATTAAGGAGAAGACTGCACCATAATCATTTAGTGTGCAGTTATTTGCATCAAGCTTGTAAACACTTAGAGCCTTCCATACACAGTATGGAAACTTCAGGGATTTACACCCCGTAGAAGTGATTGTTGTTATAGTTTTTACCAACAAGGGGCTGAAACAGTATTAGATTATCTGTGGGCTTGATTGGCTTATGCATACAATATGTAGATGGGTTAGATGCCAGGGAATGGCACACACGAACACTGTTTCCTACTTGTAGTTTTGAATGCTGCAAGCTTAATACAATGTGAAGTTTGTACTGTAAGCGTGGTGTTTCTTCAGGAGTGACTGCATGGTGAGTTAGCAGCTTCAACTAGCTTTCCTTGGATATTTTTAACTGTACAGATTTGCCTCAAATACTTTTCTCCTAGTCTAAGCAGCTGCTGCCTAGTTCGAGTCAGTGAAGTATCTGTGCAATTGCCAATTTCCCCAAGCAAGGAAGAATGTTTTGAGGATGTGTGTCCTCTTTGCGTGGTAAATGGTCCTTTCTGGGTTTTGAGTATAAATGGGGGGAAGGAAGTGAGTGCCCCCGTGCAAACACTTTGCTATCTGAGAGAGCTCTGCATTTTATAAATGCTTCCTGTCTAGAAGGCATTTTATTGTTGCTTGTAACAGGTTTTTTACAGTTTTGTGGGGAAACAATGTCTTGCTTTTTTGTTTGTTCAATAATTTGTGTAAGGTTTGTTCTGAGGCAATAACAATGAGCTGCTGTTGAAACAGCAAGTGTTTAAAAACACTTGTTCCAGCATGGGCTACTTCACACTGATTTAAATGGAAAAGTCTGTAACCTGATACCTGCAAATGCATTAATTTTATAACGGTTGGTAAAATTAATTTAAAACCAAAACTAATGTAATTATGTGAAATCTTAGCATTATTTAGCTTTAAAGATTTAAGATTAATGCAGTATTGTTTCACAAAGTTGTTCTTCGCATGGAAATGTGCTCTTGGGCAGAAACGGACAGCTTTCCTGAAGTCCCATGGAGGTGTGGGCTGTGGCAGCTAATTTTGTAATATGAAACATTCAAATGAACTACCTAATGAGTAAAATAAGACTGAAACACTGCACCTGCCTGCTGTACTTTGCTGGGCTCTGCCCTTCGCGAGGGCCCCCTCCAACGCCCTCCACTCCGGGGAGCCCGGGGGCGCAGAAGGGGGGAGGGTCCCGGGTGAAGCCGGTGCTGCCCGCACGGGGCGCGGGAGCGGCCTCGTCCCGTCCCGCATTCGGGGCTGTTGAGGCGGGAGCGGGGCGCGTTTCCCCGCGCGCGGCGGCGCCTCGGCCCCTCTCTGCGGGGAGACAAGATGGCGCCGCCGCCCGCACGAGCGCGCGCGCGCGAAGCTCTAGGGCCGGCGTCACGCGCGC